TAGTAACACTGGATCAATAAGAGATGATCCTTACTGGACCTCTAGGAAGAACAGTTTAGAACTGATAGAGCTATCCAGTATAAATAAAGTTAGTTCAGTTTAGGTTTCCTCCTGTAGTAACACTGGATCAATAAGAGATGATTCTTACTGGACCTCTAGGAAGAACAGTTTAGAACTGATAGAGCTACCCAGCATAAATAAAGTTGGCTTAGTTTATGTTTCCTCCTGTAGTAACATTGGATCAATAAGAGATGGTCCTTGCTGGACCTCTAGGAAGAACAGTTTAGAACTGATAGAGCTATCCAGTATGAATAAAGTTAGTTTAGTTCAGCTTTCCTCCTGTAGTAACACTGGAACAATAATAGGGTGACCCTTATTGGACCTCTATAGATGGAGCTATCCAATAAAAATGTAGTTGATATTTGTCATTTTCATATCAAACAATTCCCAAGTTTGAAATGCTAATTAAGTCGTTTATTTAAGCGCGCTTTAATTAAACTACCACCTTGAGTGAAAATAGTAAACAACTTCATAGTCAAAGGAACAATTAAATCTTATTTTTGTTTGTTTTATTCCTAAAATTAGCACACAACGAGAATAGTTTTAAGCCATTTACTCTCTATACAAACTTTAATCATTCTTTTGTGTGTAAGTAGGATTTATAAATTATTTTCGGACAAGTTAATTTGCCAAAAATACGCCAGCCGCCATGTTTATACTGCATGGATGACGTCATTAAAGGCCCTGTCACACCATATTGCGTATCGTACTAGCGTATGCAAGCGTATGAAAAATATCACTCATATGCCGTTATACGCTGACATACGCTAGGGGTACGTATAGGCATAGGTTGTATACGTTTCAAGCACGGTCGCGTACGGTGGCATACGGCGAGGCAGAAAATTTTTTTTAAACATGCTCAAAAATTTTGTGCGTATCGGACGTATAGGCCCTGTCACACTATTGCGTATGAGAGAAACGTATGAGAAGCGTATGAAAATTAATGAAATAATTATCATACGCACAAAAATCCTTTGAAATGCCAGCGTATGAGTACCGTACATCTGGCGTACCTTTAGCGTATTCAGCGTGTGCCTAGAGTATGCTTATCGTATAAGGCATACGTCCGATACGCACAAAATTTTTGAACATGCTTAAAAAAAATTTTCTGGCTCGCCGTATGCCAGCGTATGTCACCGTATGCGACCGTGCTTGAAACGTATACAACCTACGC